TCCTCCTCATCGGTCATCGCTGTCGCCCTCGTACACGCGCCTTGAGCATGCGCCTGTGCTGCGTGCCGCGCGCAGCTCCCTTGCTCTGTCTCCTTCCAGCTTGTTCTATGCTTCGGTGCCGGGGAGCAAGTTTTTACTAGCGAGCACTAATCAACCTGTCCGGCGTGAGTATTGCATGTCGCGAGCTGCGGTGCCAAGAAATGAGTTTGGAGAGCAGTCTTGCCGGGGCCGCGGACGCGATGGCAGAGGTTAAGGGCTGCTGAACGGGTGCGGGGGATGGTGCCACCCGCTCTGGCCGCTGCACGCGCAGAGACTGTCTTCGGTGGGCGGTGAAGACCATCGCGGCGAGGCTGGAGAGGGTGCCGTCGTGCCTGTCGGACCTGTCCAGACACCCCTACTTCTTCAAGAACTCGCTCTGTCAGGAGCTTCTGCAATCGATCGGTGGCTGCAACGCTAGTCGAGGACACCGAGCTCAGTGCATGCTGCCACGAGCCTCCTGCAGATGCAGAGACCTCGACATGCCATCTGTGGAGTTTTGGCATGGACGCCGTCACTGTTATTCTTGGCCGCGCGGCCCAGCATCACGTCGGGACAGCTGCCGCGAGCCACTCCTCTGTAGCCTCCTCTCCTCGTCTTCGGCTTTGCCAGCCGCAGTACAGCACGTCGCAGTACAGGCAATGCAGCACCCCACCCGATGCCACGGGCCTGCACCCTCTTTTCTCTCTATCCTCGATGAGAAACCTCTGGACGACGGCGCAGCGCGGCTTCAGGTTGGCGATTTTCCTCTCCCCACGGTAGCCCACAGACCAATATACCCTCGAGAATAAATTTTAATTTCTATAAATATTTTTGCTCAATTAAATGGCAAGCAAATAAAAAAAAGTAGTACCTCCAAGTACCATGATACTTTTCCAACCACCGTAAATGGCCTCTTTATTTATAACCATCACTAAATGTTTTTATAAAGAAAAAGCTCTTACAACTCTGCTATCACATCTTGTATAATTGTTTACCATGTTAAATGCTTAGACATATCTTTGAATAAATATTTACTTTCACTACAACTTTAATCATATGTTATTTTCTGCTGCAAGTCTTGTAAACATGTAAAGTATTATAATTATTCTTTCTGCTGCTGTATAAAACATGTTTTGTAATAACTCCGATTTTATGTAATTCTGTGATGTATGAAATTGTTAAGAATGTTGTAAGTTTTATTCACTTGTTTATGATTATGATTAAAAAAAATAGATTTTCGAGTTCTCCCGTTGGGTGTACTCGACAAAACTGTTGGATTTAGTGTGCTTCTATGTGGTGCTTAGTGTCTAATAAAAGACAAGTACTCTTGGGAGTGGATTAAATTAGACGGTTCTGCCACACTCCTCCCTACCCGTCGCCACCTCGGACGCCGTTGTGGCCCCCGGCGACCTGACCGCCAGCCGCCCACTCCTAATAGCAATCCTGGTGACTTACCTCAGCTTCCTGTCGCCGGCACCGCCCACCGGCTGTCCAGCCCCACCCGCTCGGCGGCCGAGCTCGCCACCCGTCGAATCGTCGACAACGCTTATTCGGCCGCCACCTCGTATTGGTGGTGGCGGCAGCGGCACACGGGGCTCACGGAGGTGGCGTCTGGAGGAACGGACACCCGATTAGTATCATTACCGTAATTTATTTACCCATGTAGAATAAACAAAAGTCTTATCTGCTGGGTTTGTGGATACGAGCGTGGTTCTGTACTATTCGAACCATGAACTGCTAGATATATAACCGACATGCAATTATAATTTAAAGCCATCATATCCCCAATCTAATTGTCATGATCCGATCGTTCCCATTGTATAATTATTAATATTATGAGCATTTTAGCATTTTAAACTCAATTTTAAAAAGTTGTATACAAAATTCTGCATTTTCTGGGCTATGTAATTTTCGTGCTGACAGTTCAGCCCTCACCGCCGGACGGTCCGTGAATACATCGATTCAGACTCCTTGTGTCTGAAATAGTGCACATACATAATCATAGAGCCCAGACTATGGTACCGTTTAAATCCGTGCTTGCATCTCAAATAGCAGATTCATCGCTAAACAGCATCTATTTCAGACTCACGCCTCTTATCACACAATCTAAGGAAATCAGCCAAACCATAAAAAACAGATGTGGGAACTTTATGATTTTGAAGGTTTTCTGGTACAGGAAGCTTTTCCGTGCTCAGTATGTGACAGAGTATTCCTTTCACACAATACCCAGAACTCGGGGTTTAAATGCCAATGCCCAAATGAGGTTAACTCTGTAACAATGTCCCATGCTCCATCCTAATCAGCTTTACGCTCAGAAAGCTTTCAGGAAGTTGCATTAATCCATTTATGTATGCAAGCCTAAACACTTCATGGCGTTGAGTACTCATGAGAGTCATGAAAGAAAGATAAAAACAAAAATGCTCACTCATTGTTAAACATGAAACATCCAAACCAGATAAAGCCTCTGCAAAACCAATATTCTCATTGTTAAACAGCAAACGTCCAAACCAGATAGAGCCTCTGCAAGAACATTATTCATGAGAACAGTAGAAGAGAATAAAAATTGGTTCTGGATATGCCGATAGGCAAAAAAAGAAAAAGAAAAAAGTCAAGCGCTAGACATAATTACAAAAGTCCAGGTAAATGAGAGGTGATGGTTAACATGACTATCAACAAATTTGAAAGTAACTATCTTTATCTCAAAATTTCACAAAAATTAACTGGATCTACCATCAGGAGAAAGATCCATTGCAATTTTGTACATGAAAGGGAACATAGTTCACAAACATTTTACAGTACATAAATCCAGCCCTCCTCTTCATGCTCCTTTGCCCTCCTTGAACATTCAGCCCACTTTGTGCAGCCTTGCGAGAGCATCAATTAAGCTATGAGCTGAAAAGGTATTGATATATGTATCAGAAAATTCAAATGATAAATAAATTCAGACCAACTCACTACAAACTGGCAGCAGTGCTGAATCAGCAAGGAAATTATAATAAACTTGCTCAGGTTTTTCAAGTGGTTCAGCATGCACAAAAAGGACAAAATATCTTTCTACCTATGAAGTATAATCAGAAACACAGTTCTTTGAAAATATAGCAACAATCCGCATAGCCACACTATGAGGTTTTTTTGTGTGTGTGTGTGTGGGGGGTGGTGTCAAAGATGACCATTAACATCAAATCATCCTGAGCAAACTCACTTCTTTATTCATATATATGTTGCCAGCCGCCTCCTGCATGCATGAAGCAGGAACTCTTGGCCTAGGCGATTTGGACGGTGACACCAAACCAGTGGCACGGGTAGTTATGCGTCCACGTGCCGAGTGGGCGCAGTCGGTCTCTATTTCAAACCACCTCGTCACATCAGCTCCAGTTGCCCACGAAACAGGCGCTGCCAGTTATGAGGAGGCACATGACGTGGATTCTTGGTGAGCCAAACAGCAAGGAAGGTGCACACGGAGGTGCTTCATCTGGCCCAGCTGTTCCAACCCCCCATCAGCCCTCATCGTTCCGCATGGATCACACAGTGGAGATGCACTTGTGGCAGTTGCGGTGGCTGACATCATTACTGCAATGCCTGGCCATGAAGACCCCCCTCGCGTATATGGTTTGGGAGTACATGATCAGCACACCATCGCTACTCATCTTGTATAGTCATTTGATATTGCAACTTATTTAATGGGCATGTGCCCTTCATTGCTGCAAAAAGAGGCACGGGGCAATGTTGCCACTGTTGGGTGCAAATGGATGGTTGTGGTGGAGCCAGGAAGGGCTCAACCTGGCCAGAGGGCAAAATGGTCAATTCATATGGGTTGAGAGTGGAAAAGATAATCAAAACACTAGAAAAGGTCGAAACGGCAAATTTGCAAGGGTGGCAATTTTTTGGGTGCTAAGCAATCAAGAAATACATTTTGGGTGGCAAATGTGAGAAGTCCACTGTTTTGGCCTTTTGGGCGTCAAGAATCAAATTGGTTGTCAAGGGCGTCGGGGTTCAGGGAGGAAGAACCTTGGCTATGAAGCTCGTAGTCTCGATCGGTAATGGGACGAGGTTTTTCCCCTCGGCGCCCTATGTTGAAGAAGGGAGATTAGGAGTGGAGATAACTGTTATTGCTTAAACCTGATGAGTCTCATACAAGATGTAAATAGGCCATGGGCCACTAACAAACCAGAGATGGTAATCTCCTAAACTCAAGCCGTGGCTGATAGCCTGCCTAACCAGAACGCCTACATTGCGCACGACGCGCTCCTAGCCACGTCCCTGCGCATGTACTGCTTCTCCCCACATGACGTTGGCCCATTAGGCAAGACACACCTTATTGTGGCCGTGCCCGAACTTCTCGTTACAGTTGTAACACAGCCCCAAGCGACAGCGTTCCTCCATCTCAGACGGGAAGAGGCGCTTCACCTGACGCCCCTCCATGCTGGTGGTGGGGGCAGCGCCAGCTGGGTTGGAGGCGTGGGTGGCAGAAGTCTTCTTGCGATGCTCACAAGGATCAGATCTCAGAAGAGCTGCCCTTCACTGCGTTGGTCTCTTGAGAAGCTGCTAAAACACTGTGAGGTACTGATGCAGAAGGTGACATGGAACTAAGACGTGTCTCTTCAGCAATCAAGGCAAACAACACATCAGCAATGGATGTAGTAGTAGGAGCGGAGCATTCAACAACTGCTTACGAATGGGCCCAAAATCAGACCTCAATCCATGACAAAACTGATATATGAGGAATTTCTCAATGAACTTGTTCTTCTTTTTTTGAACCGGGGGTGATTGGATCCCCACCTGAATATATATTGATATATATCAACAGCCTCGTTTTTGGGGAAAAACAAGGCAAAACCCTTTCGTCGGGTTAAGTTTGGAAAACCAGACTAAAACCAATACAGCAGCCCCAGCACCAAGGCAAGGTTGTGGCACATCCACGAGTATAAAACTTGTTCTTTTTAGTACAACAGCTAGAACACCCTTGCTCACACTTAGGAACCATGGGGACAAAAGGTCCCATCACACGATCAAAAGGCGGTGTATTACTCTATGGACATCTCATTCTGCTGAAGGTCATGAAGTCCTTGCATCAGTGTAAGCAGAAGAGCGCCACTATTCTAAACATATCACCCCTGCAAATAGTCCCACATCTGCTTAGCGGACTCATGGTGCTCAAGACTCGTTATCAAAAGAGGCTTCATACTGGTAACAATGGCACTCATCACACGGCCACATCATTAGCCCAAGCTGTCACTGCAGCAGCACCAGAACCATCCTTAGACTTATCAGCTGGAGGAGCGTTTGTCAAGTGGGATGCAAGACCATGGCCCCTTAATATAGTTTTGACAGAAAATGCCCACTCTTGATAGTTAGACAGACCATTAAGCTTCATAGGGAAGACAATGAGATTGGGCTATGACATGATTATCTGGAGAAGGTAACACTCAACAACAGCAGACTCAACAGGAGTAGAGCAGAGCGGACCCACACAGGACAGCATAGAACAGAACACCAAGCAATAGAACACTGCAGAACAGAGCATGGACAGAACACACCACTGCAGTCCGCAGCAGCAGAACAGAGCATGGACGGAACACACCACTGCAGTCCGCAGCAGCAGAACAGAGCACAGCAAAGCACACCACCGATGGGGAATATCGAGGAAGGCGAGCGGGCGGCCGAAGGCCGGCCGAACGTTGGCACGTGCAACGATTCGCGCGAGCGGATAAGTGAGTCACGACGATTCGCGGGCGGAGGAGCGAGCCACGGGCAGAGTTACAGGCCGCGGGGAAGCAGCAAACCACGACAACAGGCCGCGTGGATGGACTGGGAAGCGCAGATGGACGGGAAGCATGGCGACTCCGCGACGACAGGCCGCAAAGACGAAGAGCCCAGCTGCCCAGGTAATGGGGACAACGACGGGCCACATGGGGCGAACGAACACGCAAACGGGCCACGCAGACAACTGGTACGGGATAAGGGGCGCAGACGATGCGTAGTCGCGCGCGCAGGAGCGCAGAAGATCAACGGACGGGCCGCGCAAGAGGCAACGACAGGCGGGCAGTGACGGGCCACACCGAGAAAAAATGGATCATGAGTGGACTAGATTAGATGAGTCTAACCCTAACCCTAATCCATGGCTTTGGTACCATGTTACTGACCTCAGGATTTGAGAAGATGAGCACTCCAGCAGTGGAGATGACTATATATAGAGAGAGCCACATGGGCCATATGGGCCTACATTAGATGGGCCTTCATACACTAAACATTTTTTTAGACAATTGCGGTCAGTGACCCTTAACCCCGACCCACGATCCAATCAACCCAAGTTTCTGGTGATTGTGTATCATAGTTTTTTTTTTATCTAATCTGTTGTTTGATTCCATTCTTTCTTCACATTTAGAAGCACTTTTTTTTTGCAACGTTTCGTTTTTTAGCGGAAAATACAGCAGGGGAGGCCCTAACTGTAAGCTTTATTTAACAAAAATAAAAGAACAACACTGTACAAAATTTGCAACTTTTCGTGGACTTTGATAAATGTAATGTGCCCCCAATTACGAATCAATTTTACATGATTATAACTGTAAGGTTCATCCTTATTCCTTTTGTTTCAACGCCAATTCTAAGAGCTAAAACTACATCTACAACACTAATGTAAAAAACTTGGAATCAAAAGAATTTAAATAAATTGGCAAAGTAAGGTAAGATACAAATATTGTACATACTAAAATTTCCTAGCAACCCATAGACTTTTGATGTCACCAAAACACCAACAAGATCAACATGGATATCCAAAAGCTAAATAGCCTGCCTCTAGCGAATCTAATAACTTTGACATTGTTCCCTGTTTTTAAATATATGACACTTACAACAAGCTTGTCCTAAATGTCATATATTTGAAAATGGAGGGAGTCTAGTTAATTAGTAACAAAGAAAGAGGTTCATAAACAACTCATGTGAACTAAAATATAAATATAATAGAACTCATGGAATAACCAAGTTGCTCAAACAACAGTTTGCATGTGAAGCGACATGTTTATTTCATTGTTATGGAATTAAACCACATTCACGACAATGTGTCTGTTATTCATCTCCATATCCAATAGAACAAGAAGGCATACATTCTTATTCAACATTAAATGGCCATTTCTAACTCGTGGATTTATTAAATCCCTGCAACTATGGTAATCAAATATTACCTTTGGAGCACGCGAAACTGATTGCAATCTGTGAACAGAAGTAAAGGACTTCCTTGCAATTTACTAATTACTACACGCTTAAAATGGAACAGAAGTTAATCCTCGAAATTAGAGCGCTCTGAAACCAGAATTCCAATGCTTACCAGGTTCATCTCAGCTCATAATTCCACAGAAGCCTCATCAGATTCTTCAATAATGTGAAGCTGTTGCAGCATGTAATCAGGAAAAACCAGCAACTACATGGCTGCTGAGCTGTTTTAAAAGTACTGCTGCTGTTGGTTCCATATGATCACAAACAAAAGTTACTATGTTCATTTTTCTAGTTTCTGGCTGCGATGCCATCTCCTGTTGCCAACAATAACCTGTCGTACAATAGTAACTTTCATTGATATGACCGCTGTAATTGTTAAAAGGAAAAAGAGTGAAGGTTACTATCTTCTGACAAATGTTTGCAAGTTTGACAATATGGTCTAATAATTTGCAGCAGTGCATGCAGTACAATGCTTACTACATCGAAAAATTTGATTGAACATCTTAAAATATAATTGTTCACACACAAAAATAAAAAGACAGCAAAAGATGCCTCAATGACATTGCAAATAATACATTGTTGTTAGTGTTTGAGAAGATTCATACAATTAAAACATTTCATTGCTCAGTCAATCTAGGAATCTCCAAGGAGACTTTTGCCGGTAAACTTCAGGTTGGTGATCAGATTGTCACATCTCAAGAGGATAAACAGGATGCTGTTCTGGATTTCTATGATAATCTGCTAGGTTCGACTGAAGACAGAGACTATACAATAGACCTTGCTGCCCTCCATATACAGCAACATGATCTTGCGTCCCATGATGAGCCATTCTTGGAAGAGGAAGCATGGGCAACTACCAAAGGCATGCCATTGGACAAAGCCCCAGGGCCAGATGGGTTCATGGGCCATTTTTTAGGTCCTGTTGGGACATTATAAGAGGTGATGTGCTGCAGGATCTTTCAGCTATTGAGTGTGGTCACGTTTTCAGATTTAAACTCCTCAACATAGCTTTCATAACTCTGTTACCCATAAAAAGGCGGATGCCATGCAAGTTAAAGACAACAGACCGATTAGCCTTGTATACAGCTTTGTGAAGTTGGTGACAAAAATCCTGGCCAACCGATTAGCTCCTTTGTTTACCAGTTACAAATCAAAGTGCTTTTGTGTGAGGAAGGAATATTCACGATAACTTCTTAATTGTCCAACAAATGGCTAGGAGTCTGCACAAAAGGAGCCACACATCCACCTGAAGTTAGACATTTTTTAGGCTTCTGACTCAGTTTCTTGATCTTTCTTGTTGGAAGTATTACAACAAATGGGTTTTGGTTGGTGCTGGATGAATCTCATATGTCTGCTGTTATCTACCTCCTCGACACAGATTATTTTGAATGGAGAGCCTGGGGAATCTATATCTCGTCTTTGAGGACTTTGTCAGGGAGATCCTTTGTCCCCAATGTTGTTTATCCTTGTTATGGATGTTCTTAATTCCCTGGTGAACCATGCTGCTAAAATGAATCTGCTGCAACCACTTGCTGTCCAAGGAGCCAAGCACAGGGTTTCTTTCTATGAAGATGATGCAGTAGTATTCCTTTGGCCTTCGAGTGTTGATCACCATACTATCATGCTGGTGCTACAAATTTTTGGCCATGCCTTGGGTCTCAAGACTAACATGACAAAAAGTTCAGTGACACCCATTCAATGTTCAGAGGATTTAGTTCTCACCTCCAATATTCTGTTATGTGTTTCCCTTGCACTTACCTTGGCCTACCGCTCACAATACGTAAACCTACAAAGTCCGATCTGTTGCCACTAGTGGATAAGGTCGCTGATCATCTTCCAGGTTGGAAGTCTTCTCTCATGAACAGGGCTGGAAGATTAATCATGGTAGGTGTCGTGTTGACAGACATCTCCTTTCCTCTGCACTATGCTCAAATCTTGATGCTTTGTTTCTTTGGCTCTTTGCTGAACTTGCGTAGATGAAAATCGAAGGCAGCAGCTTGCAGTGGAAGTCATCATGCCTGGGCCTAATCCTGAAGGAGGTGCTGGTGCAAGCACATCAGTTGCATCAGGTGGTGCTGGTTCAGCATCCTCAGCTGCTCCAGATGTTTCAGCCCTTGCAGAAAAGGCTATAGCAGCACTGCCTCCAGAACTTGCTCAGCAGGCTAAAGATCCCAAGAGGAAGGCTCGATCTCAAGACCCAGGATGGAAGTATGGGTGGTGGCCAGATCCTACGAAGATGGAATTTATTCAGTGCATTTTCTGTAAGAAGGTAGTGCCTGCAGGAATCGGTCGGTTCAAGATGCACCTTGTTGGGGGTTATGGGGATGCAGTGAAGTGCCCAAAACCACCTCCAATAGTCCAGCGAGAGATGACTGTTTACTTGAAGAAGAATACAAGGACTACAATTGTGGCACTTCCTGGAGATGGTGAACAAGAACAAGAAGCAAATGAAGAGGATGAAGTTACTGAAGTTGAACCAGCGAAAGTACCAAGTTCTGGGACAAGACTCAAGCGAGCACAATCAGAAGCAAAGAAGAAAATAGTTCAAGCTACCAAGTAATTGGAGTGTTTTTTCCCATGTAAGTATCACTGCTAGTTCGAAGTAAAATCAATTATGTATTTGCGATATTGCTTGCAAACCAATGTGTTGTTCATTATTTTTTATGCAGTTACACACCAAAAAGAGGAACAGATTAGAGCACAAGAGGTTAAATAAATTGGTCTATGTCAGTTACAACAAAAAGATGTCAAACAGGTTTAAAAAAATCAGAGAGCTTGGATGCAAAGGACAGAAGAGCAACCCTCTCACGCTAGATGAATTTCAGTGGGATAATGAATGGGTGGATGAGAATTGTGAGGAATCGACTTGGGCTGCTGTTGATGAAGCTATTGGTGCATCTGAGAATCTACAGGGCCGCAACTTGCCTAGGGCTGCTGCTGCTCGTGCAGCAGCCTCTGTCAGCCAGATGTATACCAGGAAGCGTCCAAGGACTGCTGCAGCTGCAGCTGCTGCTCCAGATAGCATTGATGATGAAGATGATGACCATGAAGCACAAGTTCAGCCACATGCATCTAATGCTGAAGTAGGAATGGAGGTGGATGGAGACTCGGGTGGAGATGGAGGAGGAGGCTTCAATTTGGATGATGATTTGCTTATTTAGATTTAGATGGCTGCTGAATGCTGATTGAATGGCAGCTAGTGTTATCTTAAAAACTCTGAATGTTGTTTGCAGTGTTTAATTATTTAGTTTGTAGTATGTACTCAGTACTCGTACTATATTAAGTAAGCTGTAGACTATGCTAGTTTTCTTAATTCCTACTTTCTGGATCTGGATTGAGTGTGCTGTTGTAATGCTATCAGTCTGTCACACTATTCTTTTGCATCTACTTACTCAAGTTATCTATTATTCCTGCAGAAAATCAGCAAACATATGGAGGCTGGGACAAGAATATGGAGTCAAATCTCATAGGTAAGTAACCAACTAACTAGAAATATGCTCGATGTCTACTATATAAATATATAGTATATGGTATATTATATATATACCATACATATATGATATATACTTATATAGTCCTGCTATATGCTGGACGATTAGACCGATCAGAGGTCGATTAATCGTCCTGATCGTCCTAATCGGTACCAGACCGATTAGGAACGATAAGAATACTCCCTTCGTTTCAAAATATTTGTTCATGGCCATGAGAGTAACCGATCCACAATATTTGCTCACTGAGGATATCCAGAATGTAATTATAGTAGTATTTCTGCTCCCCACCCCTAACTAAATACCCTAATGTAAGAGAAATGAATGTATTTTAACATATAACATATAATAGGGGTAGGAGCATGGATGGTCATCTTATATTGATTTTCCTTTTGGAACTATAGTATATGTCCCTAGATCCATGCACGAAATATTAGAACAGAGGGACTAAGTTGCAAGGTTGTTGATAAATTGCAAGACTAGGCATGAGTTAGTAAAAGGCTAAACACTCCCTTAGTGGACTGCAGCAGCAAAAATAGCAAAGAAAGCTGGTACGGTGACCTACATGAGGAAAGAACTAGATGGCCTAAGTGACAATGTGATATTGTCTTAATGGCCGTTCATGAATTAATAAATATTTGTAACATCATCTAACTCGGATGACATTTCCCAATGGCATTTTGCATCTTCGACATCTTTGCAATGGCATATAACTAGCATTTACTTGGGCAACATGAAGTTGCACTGGATGTTGTGCTTCAATAGCAGAATGACATAAAAGGCATTTGTTAAAAGAAATTAGTACCTCAGAATGGCACAAGCAGTCTATTTCATAGGAGCCACCCCATTACCACCAAGATCAGCATCTATGTCCATCCCATCACACATGTTCCGGCTCTCAACATATCCATCTTTTGCCAACTTGCTTGAGCTCCTTTTGCTATACTTCTTATAGGGATCCACCAAATCATCCTGCTGTGTAATCACATGAGGACCTTTTCTTTTAGCTTTCATGCTCTCCTCAGCGTGTTTACCTTTCACACATTCCAGCGCAAGAACCACTGTGACAGAGGAATCAGAACTCCTAAGGCACTTTGAAACCCTGTTGCAACCTGGTTCTTCTTCTTCATCAAGCTGAGCCATCATATTGGTTATGCAAATCTCCTGATTTATGTTGCAAATCCTACCACCAACCCCATCATTCTTCCCCTTGCCTGGCTCGGCAGAGCCACCACCAGCTGAATTACCCGAACGTGAAATCCTCTGTGATCCATTCATTGCCAGGTGTAGCTGCAAAGCTAAGTCTTCGTCCAGCAGAACCGGAACACCACTGTTCCTCCCCACCAGCCCACTGCTGCCAACAGCGTTGTTCCCCCGATTGGAAGCCAACTTCACCTCCGCAGCCTTCCTCAGAGCGTTCTCCCCAGCAACGGAGGTACGATCCCAGAAGCAAGCCTCCAGATTCAGCCCCAAATTGAAGCCCCTGTTCTTCGATCTCACGGTGGGGCAGCAATCGACGCAGAGGAAATCCTCCACATCGACCGGCTGGATCACGGTCGTGCGGTGTTCGGCGGGGATACAGGATCGGTGGACACAGCGCTTGCAGCGGCGGCAGACGACGGCGGAGTCCTCGGGCGGCAGGTTGTCGAGGGAGAGGCAGTAGGAGCATACAGCGGCGGAGCGGACGAGGGAGAGGCATTCGGCGCAGAGGAGGACGACGCGCCATAGGGAGCTGAGTGGACGGACCGGGCGGCGCTTGGACCTGGCCCCCGGCTGGGGCGTTGGGAAGCGGACGCCGCAGCAGTGGCACAGGCTGAGATCGGGCAGGCCACGCGCGGGCGCTGGCGGCGCAGGTGGTGGCAGGGGCGGGCGAGGGGCCGCGGCGCGGCGGCGCGGGCGGTGCTTAGAAAGGAGGCGGGACGGCGGGGCGGGGTGATCGGCGTCGGAGGCAAGTGCGTTGGGTGCGTCCTGCACCATGGGTGACACCGTGACAGGGTGAGGTTAGGGTTTGAGAGTGGCGTGGTCCGGAATGGGCTTTCGGGGAGCGGTGGGTTTGATTTGAGTCTTTCTAACGTGCCACTAAAAAAAGTTTCAAATTTAGATGTACCGCCGAGGGGTCTGTTTGATGATATCTGTCTCATAATATATAAAAAAAATTATTTCCCTGTTTAGCATCTAAAGTTTAAATCTTCGTATTTATCCTCTTTTAATATTTTCTTCACTTACTGGTATTTCCGTCAGTTTCGATATGTAACGGTGTTAACTCTGAGGAAAAGGGACAATTTTAGCCCTCCTTTGTTTTCGAGTAAGATTATTTTTTGGACGTCATTTTCTGTTAGTGTTTTTTTATCATTTTAAGATATTTTGGCACCATTTTTTTTCCTGTTAGCACTAATTTTTCCTGTTCTCATTTTGTTGTCGTTCCATTTAAATATCCTTTCTTGAAATGGCAAAAAAAACGCTAACAAAACAAAATGGGTGCCCAATAAACATACTAACTGAAAATAAAGGAGGGGCAATTATCCTTTTCCCTTAGAGTTAACACCGTTACATGCCCAAACTAACGAAAGTGTTAGTTAGGGAACAAAAATTTTAACAGTAGATAAATAGGAAAGGTTTGAACTTTAAGTATAGAGAAGAGGAAGTTTTCTTTATGCCAGACTGTTTGATACACATGACTAGTTACGAGTAGGTCTAAGGACATGTTTGGTACATCTTATGGTCTAGCTTCACAAAGTTTTTTTCGGCTTCTCCTACCAAATAGATATTTTCAAATAGCTTCTCCTTAGAAGCCGTTTTTAGCCTCTCACATGCACAAAAATCTGGTGAAGCTAAAAACTACTGTCTTGTCCCAGCTCTCTCTCTCTCTCTCTCTCTCTGATATCTTCCCGGATGACAGGAACTAGGTAGCTAGAGGAAGGCGAATATCTTATAAAATTTCTCTACAAACTCACAACACTAGAGCAAAGTTGATTAATACAATAAATAGCCCTAATAGTGATTACTTTGCACTAGCTCTAATTTTCACCCAGTGCAAGCCCCTACATAAGTCTAGTGTCTTTTGAAGTTTACTCTAGAGCACTTCACCACATAGGAGCTACTAAGAACACTAGCTACACTAGAGAGCTACTGACAAAAGCAACTAACAACTAGTTACTACTACAACTAAACACACTACTCTAGCAAGCTACACAAGCACCTACCACACAAACAAGCACAATATATGAATGTAAAGTGTGTAGTATGCAAACCATCGAGAGCGAGAGCTGAACACAAGATTTATCCTCGTGTTTCTTGCCGACAAGCAACATCCACATTGTGGCGAGTTCCCAAGTGATGATTCACGCACTAACTAGCGTGACAAGCTAGACCAACAACTTGGATGCCGCAAGAATCAACCACGTGGTTGAAAGGATGTATGGATAGCTAGAGGGGGGCGAATATCCTAATTAAATTTTATACTAGCTCACAAGCACCAGGCAAAGGTGTTAGTAAGAGAGATGACCCTAATAGCCGCTACTTTACCTAACCTATGCAATACAACATATGCCCCCTACACAAGTCTAGTTGCAAGAACAAGTGTTAAGCACTTCACACAACCAAGCACCTAGAGGCTCTACTAAACAACTAGCTTACACTACCAAAATAATAGAGCTGGCTACAACAACAACTAGAGAGCTAGAGCTACCAAGCAACAACACAATCACAATATGTGAGTTGAAATTGCAAGTGTTTAGAATGCAAACCAATGGGGCAAGTGACACAATGAATTTTTCCCCGAGACTCGGTTGCTTGCCGGCAACCTACGTCCCCGTTGAGGTGGATCCCAAGTACCTCTTCACTTAGATGTCAATAGAACACTAGAGACCTCTCCGAACATCAATTGATTTCACTATAGTTGCTCTTGGTGAATCTCTCGCGGAGATGAGCACAAAGCCCCTCACAATAGCCAAAGACCGGTGATAGATCGAGATGGCGGACTAGAGGAGGGTGAATAGCGCAAGTCTTCTAAGGTCTTTAATGTTGATGATCACTTGATCTTCATGTTGTCTTTGTACAAATCATCCTTGCATCCAATAGAGTAAATATCTTGTATACTCACAAATAACATTAATCCATTTTATCATGTTGTCAATAAACTATCAAAACCGCATGTAGCCCATGCTAAGTGCCATTTTCCTTACAGAAAGGAAAGAGATCATTTAGCCAAACAATAAAAAGGTGAGCTACTAGCTCGCAATGCAAGGTATGGGTTTCAGCGGAGGATATTTAGGAAGCTTTTAAGATTTTTTTTCAAAAACCTTATTATAAAGAAAACTACATAATCTTTTAAGTTCATTTTCAAACAAAACACTAGATAGAAAAGAAAGATGATTATCAGGATAAATGCAAAACACACCTTGATATAACGTATGATTTGTTAATTTTATTTAGAAAATAATACATTTCTTGATAATTTTTAAAGATATTTACTAATGTTGGCAAACATTAAAAAACTAGAAAAAAGTATTGCTTTATTGTATCAATCGCAAAATCCAAAATCTTAGAGTGTGTTATGAAATAGCGCGCACTGTATCAAAGGTCGTGTCTCATGTTGAGCTAGATACGTACACGCGGACCATCAGCAATTCAGTATCAACCGCAAAATGGAGCACACGACATGCCTAGCTTGTGTCAATATGTGATGTGTTGAGCTAGGTGCGCACACGCATATCATCAGCAATTCAACATCCAACGGCGAAACAGGACACGCGACATGCCTAACGTGTGTCAACACGTGGTGTTAAGCTAGGTACGCACACGCGGGACCATCAGCCATTCAACATCTAATGGCGAGACGGAGCACGCGACATGCCTATGTGGATTCTGTAGGTAAATAGAGGGAAAGATGCCCTTGACCGTCCAACCAACAAATGTCATCATTTGTTTAAATGCCAACTTGAAAGACACGGGCAGTACGAAAGTTCTGATAGATTTGTTTTTTCTAATAGAATAAAAAAAGCACTTAACTTGTTGGAGTTAAAATCGATGAAGGAGGGATAGTAACCAAATAATAAAAAAGATAAAGGTAAAGAGAAAAGGATTGTTGTGTTGTACTTGTATCTTATCTTATACACAAGTCAAAAGAATGAATAGAGCTGGCGTGGATGCCCTTGCGTGCTCTCTTGGTTCTTTTCGCTTTCTTGTGAAAGATGAAGAACCTCCCCTTCCCCCGGTCTGTCAAAAACGCTCTTCTGAAGACAGATTGATGGTTGGTCTGCGCCTCCGCGGCGAAACCAACCAAGCAAATAAATATTTCCATCGTTGGATGCTGCTAAGAAGATGATGCGGAAACGAAGCAAAGGCGGATATGAGGACCATGGCCCGGCCGTCGTCGTCGTGGAAGCAGAGTGGCTATGCTGCGCACGGACTAATTCTGGGCTTCGTGCTCGTGCTCGTGCTTCTCTACTTGATGGTCTCTGTACAGTTGAGCTATAGTAACCCGCATGGTAATCTCTATCATATTTCTATCGCCACCGTCTGTTTCTTTTTCTATTTTTTTCGAGTTCTGGTTGGCATAGACTCGAGGAACTATCTATATGAGATTGCGATGAACGGGGGATTGTTGCTATACCGCTTGCTTCTCACAAGATCCTTTTGTGCTCACACGCAGAGGCAGCTTATGCTGGCGCAACAACAATCAGCACAGCTGAAACGGTTCCTGCAGGACGACAAAGAAGCCATCAAGAACGCGGTATATATGCGCGGTTTTGTTTACTAGTAGTTCGCTTGAATCTCGTAGTACAACATTTTGTTTCGATTATGTGTTCAATGATCGAGTTACGTATTTGCTCGTGGCTAGATGCCAGGAGCATGGAACCACCACCCGCCACAAAGGTAACCGTGAGTCCCGTGCTGCGTGACACCAGAAAGGCAAGCAGACAAATTCTTCTTGAATACGATGCTGATTTCGATCTTATCTTTCTTTTTTGTTTATGGCACAGTGGCACATGAGAACGATGAGCAGGAATGGGCAGACAAAAATCTAATCGAGGAACAATCAGGCATACATGTTTCTTTTGTCTTTGCATGTTACTTAATTCTTCCTTTTGATCGGCCAGGTCTGTGTTTTCTGTGTAGTTCCTTACAATCAGACTAAGGTTCCCTTTTGTCCCCTTGCTTTGACGCCAGTTGGCAACGAAAGGAACACTGACAATTGGAACCAAACACACCAACCAACGGAGAAGGACAATCGGTTTGACTTATAAGCCATGGCTAAAAGTATTATTGGCTGGTTTGGTGTAAAAGAAAAATACCATTCGTTAACTGATAAGCCATGTCTTATAAGCCAAATATAACCAAATGAACAGGCTGAATGTTGAATTCACTGAATTCGGTACCAAATTTGTGCCTTTTTCATGTCCTTTTTAAACCAAATCTTGATACATATTTACATCTGGTAAGTTGTGGCTGTGTGAGCAGGGGAGGAACCGATGACTTCAACAATGTCGCGCGCACCAAGCCCATCTGCGACACGTCGTTCGGTAAATATATCTGCGAGCTGGCAGGCGACGCGCGGGCACGCGGTGGCGCCGCCGCGACGGTCACGCTTGTCCCTCCACGCGCTCCGCTCCGGGAGTGGACCATAAAGCCCTACTCACGGAAGTACCTGGATGGGCTCAAGGCTGTCACGGTGAGGTCCGTTTCCATCCCAGAGCATGCACCGCCATGTACGACGCGGCTTAACATCCCGGCGATGGTGATCGAGCTCGGCGGGCTCACCGGCAACTACTGGCACGACTTCAACGACGTGCTCGTCCCGCTCTTCATCGGCGCGCGGAGGTTCAACGGGGATGTCCACCTCCTCGTCGTCAACCTGCTTCCCTTCTGGGTCGACAAGTACCAGAGTATCTTCAGCCAGCTCTCGCGCCACGAGATCGTTGACTTCGATAGGGACGACGGCACCGTTCGTTGCTACCCGCACGTCGTCGTCGGCTACGGCAGCCGGAAGGAGTTCACGATCGAACCCAGTCTCGACGCCACGGGCGGCGGCTACACCATGGTAGATTTCACCGAGTTGTTGAGACGAGCCTACTCCCTGCCGCGCCAGCGGCCGATCAAGCTCAGTGACAATCCTGCCAGACGGCGGCCACGGATGATGATCCTGGAGCGAACCAACAGCCGGAGGTTCATCAACCTCCATGAGGTCGTCGCTGCAGCGCAGGCCGCCGGATTCATGGTGACCGTTGCCGGCCGTCCGAGGACCAACTACGACAAGTTTGCACGCGAAGTGAACTCCTTCGACGTGATGTTGGGCGTCCACGGGGCCGGGTTGACCATCTGCGTGTACCTGCCCACGGGCGCCGTGCTCGTGCAGATCGTGCCGTATGGCCGGCTGGAGGACATCGCCGGGTCCGACTTCGGCGACCCCGCCCGCGACATGGGGCTCCGGCGCAATGGGATGGATAAAATACTCGTGCCTCGTTAACTCGCTCGACTTGTGCTCGGCTCAGCTCGCATTGAATATGTGGATTTTCTCTAAATTTATGGTGGTAAGCAACTAGTTAGTACGCTGGAATTGCATGATTATGGATGGACCAGCTACGTTGCATGGTTGATACTTTTAATGAACCTGATATGTATTAATTATGTACTGTTGCATAATGGTGGACGTCACCTTCGAGAATTAATATAGCATAAATATTATAAACATGTGTGTCATATTTTTTTTATAGCTTGCGAGCTAAACGAGCTAGCTTGAGCTCGGTAACGAGCCGAGCCGAGCTACCCCTCTAGCTCGTAATATTAATGAGCCGAGCTGAGCTGACTTGTTTGCCTAACGAGCCAGCTCGAACTAGACTGAGTCGAGCCAAGCTGGCTCGATATCTAGAACGGGTACATCGAGTACAACATGTTGGATTTAGTCCCATGTTTGGTCCAATCTGAAAAATTCCAAAGCATGCATAACCTATAGTCTCATATTACTAATTTCAAGAAGAGGTTGCCTTGCTTAAATATGGGAGTCTCATCTCTATGCAAAATAGGTGCAAATGAGAGAGAAGGAGACTGTTGCTACACGCACGCGCAGCTCGCGCGTATTTTTCGCGTGAAAAATCGCGTGACTTGTGACTCCGATTTGTAATAATTATTCTTTCCGCTGCTGTATAAAACATGTTTTGTAATAACTCCGATTTTATGTAATTCTATGATGTATGAAATGGTTAAGAATGTTGTAAATTTTATTCACTTGTTTATGATTATGATTAAAAAAAAATAGATTTTCGAGTTCTCTCGTTGGGTGTACTCGACAAAACTGTTGGATTTAGTGTGTTTCTCTGGGTGCTTAGTGTCTAATAGAAGACAAGTACTCTTAGGAGTGGATTAAATTAGACGGTTCTGCCACACTCCTCCTTACCCGTCGCCACCTCGGACGCCGTTGTGGCCCCCGGCGACCTGACCGCCAGCCGCCCACTCCTAATAGCAATCCTGGTGACTTACCTCAGCTTCCTGTCGCCGGCACCGCCCATCGGCTGTCCAGCCCCACCCGCTCGGCGGCCGAGCTCGCCACCCGTCGAATCGTCGACAACGCTTATTCGGCCGCCACCTCGTATTGGTGGTGGCGGCAGCGGCACACGGGGCTCATGGAGGTGGCGTCTGGAGGACCGGACAACCGATTAGTATCATTACCGTAATTTATTTACCCATGTAGAATAAACAAAAGTCTTATCTGCTGGGTTTGTGGATACGAGCGTGGTTCTGTACTATTCGAACCATGAACTGCTATATATATAACCGACATGCAATTATAATTTAAAGCCATCATATCCCCAATCTAATTGTCATGATCCGATCGTTCCCATTGTATAATTATTAATATTATGAGCATTTTAGCATTTTAAACTCAATTTTAAAAAGTTGTATACAAAATTCTGCATTTTCTGGGCTATGTAATTTTCGTGCTGACAGTTCAGCCCTCACCGCCGGACGGTCCGTGAATACATCGATTCAGACTCCTTGTGTCTGAAATAGTGCACATACATAATCATAGAGCCCAGACTATGGTACCGTTTAAATCCGTGCTTGCATCTCAAATAGCAGATTCATCGCTAAACAGCATCTATTTCAGACTCACGCCTCTTATCACACAATCTAAGGAAATCAGCCAAACCATAAAAAACAGATGTGGGAACTTTATGATTTTGAAGGTTTTCTGGTACAGGAAGCTTTTCCGTGCTCAGTATGTGACAGAGTATTCCTTTCACACAATACCCAGAACTCGGGGTTTAAATGCCAATGCCCAAATGAGGTTAACTCTGTAACAATGTCCCATGCTCCATCCTAATCAGCCTTACGCTCAGAAAGCTTTCAGGAAGTTGCATTAATCCATTTATGTATGCAAGCCTAAACTCTTCATGGCGTTGAGTACTCATGAGAGTCATGAAAGAAAGATAAAAACAAAAATGCTCACTCATTGTTAAACATGAAACATCCAAACCAGATAAAGCCTCTGCAAAACCAATATTCTCATTGTTAAACAGCAAACGTCCAAACCAGATAGAGCCTCTGCAAGAACATTATTCATGAGAACAGTAGAAGAGAATAAAAATTGGTTCTGGATATGCCGATAGGCAAAAAAAGAAAAAGAAAAAAGTCAAGCGCTAGACATAATTACAAAAGTCCAGGTAAATGAGAGGTGATGGTTAACATGACTATCAACAAATTTGAAAGTAACTATCTTTATCTCAAAATTTCACAAAAATTAACTGGATCTACCATCAGGAGAAAGATCCATTGCAATTTTGTACATGAAAGGGAACATAGTTCACAAACATTTTACAGTACATAAATCCAGCCCTCCTCTTCATGCTCCTTTGCCCTCCTTGAACATTCAGCCCACTTTGTGCAGCCTTGCGAGAGCATCAATTAAGCTATGAGCTGAAAAGGTATTGATATATGTATCAGAAAATTCAAATGATAAATAAATTCAGACCAACTCACTACAAACTGGCAGCAGTGCTGAATCAGCAAGGAAATTATAATAAACTTGCTCAGGTTTTTCAAGTGGTTCAGCATGCACAAAAAGGACAAAATATCTTTCTACCTATGAAGTATAATCAGAAACACAGTTCTTTGAAAATATAGCAACAATCCGCATAGCCACACTATGAGGTTTTTTGTGTGTGTGTGTGTGTGGGTGGGGGGGGTTGGTGTCAAAGATGACCATTAACATCAAATCATCCTGAGCAAACTCACTTCTTTATTCATATATATGTTGCCAGCCGCCTCCTGCATGCATGAAGCAGGAACTCTTGGCCTAGGCGATTTGGACGGTGACACCAAACCAGTGGCACGGGTAGTTATGCGTCCACGTGCCGAGTGGGCGCAGTCGGTCTCTATTTCAAACCACCTCGTCACATCAGCTCCAGTTGCCCACGAAACAGGCGCTGCCAGTTATGAGGAGGCACATGACGTGGATTCTTGGTGAGCCAAACAGCAAGGAAGGTGCACACGGAGGTGCTTCATCTGCCCCAGCTGTTCCAACCCCCCATCAGCCCTCATCGTTCCGCATGGGTCACACAGTGGAGATGCACTTGTGGCAGTTGCGGTGGCTGACATCATTACTGCAATGCCTGGCCATGAAGACCCCCCTCGCGTATATGGTTTGGGAGTACATGATCAGCACACCATCGCTACTCATCTTGTATAGTCATTTGATATTGCAACTTATTTAATGGGCATGTGCCCTTCATTGCTGCAAAAAGAGGCACGGGGCAATGTTGCCACTGTTGGGTGCAAATGGATGGTTGTGGTGGAGCCAGGAAGGGCTCAACCTGGCCATAGGGCAAAATGGTCAATTCATATGGGTTGAGAGTGGAAAAGATAATCAAAACACTAGAAAAGGTCGAAACGGCAAATTTGCAAGGGTGGCAATTTTTTGGGTGCTAAGCAATCAAGAAATATATTTTGGGTGGCAAATGTGAGAAGTCCACTGTTTTGGCCTTTTGGGCGTCAATAATCAAATTGATTGTCTAGGGCGTCGGGGTTCAGGGAGGAAGAACCTTGGCTACGAAGCTCGTAGTCTCGATCGGTAATGGGACGAGGTTTTTCCCCTCGGCGCCCTATGTTGAAGAAGGGAGATTAGGAGTGGAGATAAATGTTATTGCTTAAACCTGATGGAGTCTCATACAAGATGTAAATTGGCCCTGGGCCACTAACAAACCAGAGATGGTAATCTCCTAAACTCAAGCGGTGGCTGATAGCCTGCCTAACCAGAACGCCTACATTGCGCGGGACGCGCTCCTGGCCGCGTCCCTGCGCATGTACTGCTTGTCCCCACATGATGTTGGCCCATTAGGCAAGACACACCTTATTGTGGCCATGCTCGAACTTCTCGTTACAGTTGTAACATAGCCTCAAGCGACAGCGTTCCTCCATCTCAGACGGGAAGAGGCGCCGCCCCTCCATATTGGTGGTGGGGGCAGCGCCAGCTGGGTTGGAGGCGTGGGTGGCAGAAGTCTTCTTGCGATGCTCACAAGGATCAGATCTCAGAAGAGCTGCCCTTCACTACGTTGGTCTCTTGAGAAGCTGCTAAAACACTGTAACGAGAATGTTGCATCAATTCCCCTCGTCTCTATGCAAAATAGGTGCAAGTAAGAGAGAATGAGACTGTTGCTACTCGCACGCGCAGCTCGCGCGTATTTTTCGCGTGAAAAATCGCGTGACTTGTGACTTGCGACGAGCGCGACGCGTACGTGTACAACAGGCTATTATTTGTGCACTTTCTATTTTTTATGCTGTGCGTAATGGCGCTTCAATGTGATTGAAACTGCCGTTTTAAACAGTAATAAGGTGTGTTAGTTTCTGCTATTTGATTGCAGCATTTTGTGTCATTAAATTAGGTAGTTTTTACTGTTTGATGAGGGGAATTGATGCACTATGAAGGCCTATAAAACCAGGAGACGTCCTGGTTGAAGGGTACGCATTCGCACACTCACCTTCCCACTTGCTGTGCTGAGCTTCTCGCTGCTGTGCCTCATCGACCTTTGAGTTCGGCGTGCACCGGACTTGAAGAGAGCGGGATCTCCGAAACCACTGCCGCGAGACTCCTGCACGGGGCGGCAATCAGATTTTTGGGCAGCGTCTACACGCGACCGCTTGGTGATCTGCAACATCTACTTCAACACGTTCGACTACGTTCTGCGCGGGATCATTGAGTAATTTCCTTGCGCAATCCTGTTCTAGTCAATATGTTACCTGTTTACTTGTGTTATATGCTTGCATTATTTTTTATCTATGAGTTTTTTCTTCAAACAAAATCTAAAATGTATTTTAGGCACGTATTTCCAACACAACATCCAGGCCAACGAGAGCTCGCTGATGGACGTGTTCGGGAAGGACCACCCCATCATCAAGGACCCCGTCGCCGTGCACATGAGTGGGTGGCGAAACGTTGCAGAGTGGTACCTGGGGAAGCAGGATGTGCGGATCAACATTGAGAGGCTCAAACCTATCCTGAAACAGGCAATGGAGCACCTCCGGTAGAGACTATTGACTGAACAAGATAACACTTTCTTCTTATCGACTTCAAATTCTTCGATTTTGTTCGAGGATCAGGCTCTGTTTCGTTTGGAGCTAGTAAAAGCTGTCTGAGCCTGGCAACAATACCAGGCGTTAAGAACTTTGGAGGCCTAGAATGAAGTTTAGCCAAATTGTGTACCAGGGCTCCAACTAAACATCATGTGTGAGTGTGTATACTATAGGGGGATAATGACCAACTCTTTTCAATCTTGTATGTTGATCTGATCTAGGAGTATTTCAATCAGCGGCAGACCAAGAATTTCTACTGTGGGCACCAGGTATTCTAACTATATATATGAACATACAATCGTATCTTTACGCACGTCTCCTACGCGAGCCACCGCCACCACGCCGTCTGCCGCATCTCCTGATCCTCGCCGTCGCCACGCCTAGGGCCTCTCTCCTTCCTCTTCGGTGTGTCTGCCGGAGACAAGAAGGCTGGGACCCTTGGGGAAGAAGACGATGGGAGAATTTGG